TAAAAATTTTAAGAAGATCGCCATTAATATCAGCTTAGATTCAAAATACAGATAAACAGGTATATTAAATAAAAATTAAAAAAAAATTTAATTTACATGAATGAATATAGAACAAACAATTAAGAAAATTTTATTGGTAAGACATATTGAAGACATGAGTGAATGAACGTGTTATATTGATTGGATTCAAAACCCGATTGTTCTGAATTGATAAAAATGTAATTGAATCTATCTCTCACATATCACCATCAAAAATCTTAGGAATTACACGATACTCTCTGCAACACACTATTTTGTGAATATATTTTATGTAATTTATAATTACATAATAAAAAAACGCAGGGATGAAGATGTGATTTTGTATCTACAGTATATATTGTTAGAAATCCATGTGAAAAATTGGAGTGATATATTGTTTTTATTTTATTATTCGATATTTTTTAATTCTTATTGTAGTATTGAATAATTTCTTATTGTGACTTTTTAGCAATAAAGAATTCTATGTTAACTTCTGTCTTTTCATATTTTGTATTTTGTGACCAATTTCTATTTTATTTATCAATTATTATTATGATTATTATTATGTTTCTTTTTATCATTCCGCCCTGTGGGCATCATCCAAGCCCATCTTGGATCGACTAGACCAACAATGGAGCGGCCGGGTGATGAAGGACGAGGTCCAACATATCTGGAACAGACCACTCCCCTGAAAAGTTCCTGGTATTATTCGACCTGCCCGAATCGAACCCGGACCCCTCAGAGCGGTAGGCTGACACCATAACCCCCTTGAAGTTATTATGTTTCGTTCTCCAAAATAATGCAAAATTTATGTTCGAATATTTCATATGTTTTCTCACATTTATTTATGCATGTACTGTACTCAGTGCCGTAACTAGGCAGGTACAACAGGTGCACCCGCACAGGCCCACTTGGAAGAGGGGCCCAAAATGCATTTATTTGTTTTATTACTTTCCAAACCTAATTAATTAAGGGACATAAATGCAAATTCCTGCACAGGACACAGGAATTGCTAGTTACGGCACTGCATGTATACTGTTATTATAATCCACTTCAATTTATAAGTTTGCTGCACGTTTATAATACAAATTTATGTTTATTTTATGCATAATTTATGCAATGTTATGAGTAAAATATCTTATAAAATAAATAAATTCAGTTGTTAATGAAAAGATATTTGATTAAAGTTAAAGATCTCGTCGAGAATGGTGTATGGTACTCCAGACACAACTTTTGATTTTAATTTATAATCTAATGATAAAATAAATATTCTAAATTTATGAAGTATGAAAAACTTATTATGAATCACTTTCTTATAAAAATCAGCCAATATACATATCAAAAGAACAAAATGATTTTATATTATTTACTGAAATACGTTACATATGTCACTTGTACAAACTTTCTCCATTTCTTCTATCGCAAATTTAATTTTATATCTTCAATTTATAATAAGAATTATATTTTCTATTTTTAAGTAAAGAATTTCCTGCTAAAAACCACAATTCCTGAGATTTTTCTGTATAAACTATCAAAAAAACACATCGATTTCTTGTATTTATTCCACTTACCACGTAATATATTTTATTAATACAGTACTTTGTAAAATAGTACATTGTAAAATTTAAAAATAGCACGTGTATATCTATGACCAGATATTTGATTTTTTTTTGAATAATTTAAAAGTTTAAAAGTAATAGGTCTACTACAACTCATCAGAAAACATTTAATACTTTACTACATATACTTTATTAATTCTCCATCCTTATCTTTTCTATTCCAATAATAACGGTAAACTGACTTACTGTAAATGTAGTACGCCAAAGTAATAGATTAAACAAGCTAAAAAAAACGAATAAATTTCGGACTGTTAGAACAATTAAACGGTACTACACGCTAGGTCAAGGTCCTCACGTTCCCGAAATAATGAGAAAGTTGTAGAGCACGTGCACTTACATGTTTAGAATAAAGAAGGTTTCGTACGTTTTTATACTTAAAAACAGGTTAATGTTATATATTTTATTATTATTAATAAAATTTCTGCAAAAAATTGAAATGTAAATAGAAAGAAAAACCCGTTCGATCAGGCCAGTCGATCATTATCGAAACCGGTAGGTAAGATTTTTTTCGTATACTAAAATTTAATTAACTGAAAATTTGCTTTAAAAATTTTTAATTAGATCTATATTAAAATGAAGATAGCGAGCAGAAAAATATTAAGAAGCAATTTTCTGTCTGTTCAACATTATTTTAGATTTTCAACCAGTTTTTTTAGGTCATTTATTCATAGGTGCAAAGTGTAAACCGATAAACTTTAAATTCGAATCATTTTCAAGGTTTTATAGTTATTTTTCCATTTATAGTTTTTATATATAGATTTTATAGTTATTAAGCCATTTTTCCTATACCCGTAATGAGTTCGGCCAGTCCCATATTGTGAACGGATGGGTGATGAGGGACAGAGGCCGACATATCATGGACAGATCACCATTAAAATACCTGGGGATTTGATTCCAGGTCCCTTAAACGTTAGGTTTTATAATAATTGTAAAAATTTCCGTTAGTAAAAATTGCGATGTGTCTCCTTTGGTACAGTACCTTAATTTTCGAATAGTTCCGTTTAAATTCATGGATTCAGTTTTTTTTTTAAATCACAAACGAAGTGTTAAAAACAAAACGAAAATAGCAATTTAATTTTAAATGAACTTTAAAAATATCTATTTTTAGAAGATATATAAATAATATTAATAAAATGTTTTACAAACATTTATATAAACATTAAAGGATACAGTTAAACTTCATCGTTTTAACGTTACCATTTGTTCGTGTCTGAAATTGGCACTAAATGGAGTGTCTAAATTTCAAAAAAAAAATCAGAATGGCGTTAAATTGAAGAATCCCTAAATAATAAATATATAGTCTATAATAATAAAAACTTCTAAGTTGAGTTTGACAGTTTGAAAGTCACGTTATTTGATTATAATGCTGTTTGCAATGCAAAATCGTACAGTATGTAACGGTAATATAATATGCTTCGATAATTTTATGGATATCGGTAATTAAAGTGACTGTATCGAATTATTATTTTTGAATTTTCTGTTAGTTATTTTTTAAAACAGACACGTTTGAAGAGTGAGAAAAACTGTTTTACTAAAGTATTAATTTAGTCTTGCAGATAATTTGAGAAATTTATAAATAGGCTAACGTTTATTTGCTTACTCTTGTAACTTCTGTCGAGATCTTGCTGAGAAATTTTTTTAAAGCTGGATCAATTGTTAATCAAACCAAGAACAGATTAAGAAGGGATAAAAATTTTAAATAAATCTTATAGTTTTATATTATAAAACGATACTGTATTATAAAATAGGTTTCTTTTAGTTCTTTCCGTCTTATGGACACTGAGGATCTTTTTTTCTAGCGAGCCCATTATGGATTCGGCCAGGCCCATGGTCTATAAAAGTCGTTTTAGTAGCGCCCTTCTGTAGTTGTGAGGAAAAAAGAAGTGATCATACGGGGTTTAAATACAGTATATTTCTCTTAATGATATACTATTACAGCGGGTAAAGATCTGTGTATTAGTCATTAAAATTTTTTTGATGTAGATTATCTTGATAGAAATATATTTTTAATAATTATCATGCGTATTCATTAAATGTAATTTAAAATTTTTGTGGTTATTGAGCTACAATTTGAAAAAAATTGTAGACCTATAAATTCCCATTTTCGTCCGTCTGTCTGTCTGCCTGTATTTCCTTAACCTCGACAACGGAGTTAGATAGATGAAAGACGAGACCAGATATAGAAACCTTAGGAGCAGGATGCTCGGATTAAGCATATGCGAGTGTTCTGTAAAACTCGAATGTCACGTTATTTCAATTCAAAACTTTTCCTCTCAAAGCAGTTAATAGATGGCCGGCATGACTATTGTTATCATATAATATACTGTACAGGGACAAGACACTACTAATTTCAGGTAGAGAGAACATATTTTAAATTTAATCAATTAAAAATGTGATTAAAAATTGTAGCCTGGCATTGTGACGATGCTTCAATAAATAATTGCTCGTTTTTTAAGAAATAAATTACTCTTCTAATATAGTTTGATTTTAATTTTATTTTTGTTGAAAGATAAATTATATAATGATTAATTAATTACATTTAGAAATATAAGAGTAGAATTTTGAGCAAATTGAAAATTATTTTAATTTGCTTTTTTTTTAGTAGTCTTCAAAATTGATACAAATTTCTGTTCAGTTCTTCAATATTTTATTTTATTTTTTTCCAATATTTGCACAGAAGAAAGCCAATGTAAAACATCTGAATATATTAAAATGTAAAAAAATTTTAATAAACAACCATTATTCGCCATTACAATAACGTAGTATATTGTTAAAATGTTTTCATATACAGTATTCTGAAAATCAGAATACTCTAAAAGAAATAATAAATTGTGTTACATGCGAAATGATTTAAAATGTGAGGTCTTTGGGAAATAAAAAAAAAAAATATTCTTCCTAAAATTTTTGCGACATGAAGAGATAAACCTAATTCCATCAGGACATACTGAAGAGTCACAAATAAATATCGATTCAGGTAATCTTTATTTTTCCTCTGGATTTTGCACGTACAGTATATATAATATAGATAAACGTTAAGTTTAATATATTTCGTTATCCATGATAGAAAAAAGGACTAACGAGGAGAAAATAACCCGAAATGCATTTCTACTAGTGTATAGAAGTATAATACGTGCTAAATAATAGAGTATTCTGTTCACCACGTGCGTTCCTTTATAATAAGTTCGACAGCAATTTCGTGCTTTTAACCCAATGACCATAAAACAAAAGCAATCAAATATAATAAATACAGCGCCCTCTAATGATTCTCCGAAAACAGAATATAATTACGTATAGTTCAGAAACGTACGGAACAAACAAGCGTACTTCGTATCATACTCCTTTTGTTCAGTTGTATGAGGGTAAAGGGCAGATCACAGCAACCCGGGCATCCTGCGAAAGTAGGCAGGTCACCTCAGGGACGACCTTTACCCTATCAAAAATTCTTACCAAGAATTTTAAATGGTAGTTGAGCCACGCGTTACCGCGGCTCGTTATTTTCCTTACTCATTAGTTTAAGGCACGATGAATCAGTCAGCGTTCCATTTCTTTATTGCCAAGTAAATCTCATTCTCACTGGTGTGACTAGAATTTATACATTATTACATTAAACTGTTTTGAAATTTAGCCAAAATTATAACACAATCTTAAATGATGTGATAAATGAAGAAATTTTACTTGGAAATATTTTATAACTCTTTAAAATTAACCTAAAAATTTCTATTTTTATTGATAATCTGGAATGATCGAAATTATGTAACTTACTTTTCGAATCACTAGATGGCGCAAAATGAAACTGATTTGTTGTATTATTTTTCCTCCTCTCATTGTTTATAAAACAAAAAGTAGATAAATAAATAAATATTTAGGTCAAAATAATTACGTAATTTTTAAAAATAAAAATTACCTGGAAAACGTAGAATTATTTGTTGACGGTAGAGGGAGCTAACGAAAACGAAGTTGTTGCTAAGTGACCATGTGATTATAGTAAATAAATAGTTTTATAATCAATTTTAAATTTCTTTGTTGAAATTGACTAATTTTAAAGTATTGTGATTAATTAAGGATAAAAATTTAAAATCTGTAGAAATGGAATCTACGTCTGTGTTTCTTTTAATGGTTGGAGGGCAAATAGAAAGTGCTAAGGTGAGATGATAATTATTTACAAAGGAAAGACAAAGAATAACTGTCAAATGAAAAAGTTGAAAAGTAATTCTTAATGCTTTCATAATTAAGAATTAATTAAAATTGCACTAGGTATATTGAATGGACCAGATCTCAGGAATTCAATACTATAACATGTTTCATTAAATTTATATGTATATATATATATATATCACATTCATAAAAGTATAATGTATCCTGCTATTATGTATATTTTTATTGAATTTAATATGTATTTGTCAGCAGAATGAATTTTTCTTAATATTATGTAACTTACCATAATTTTAATATGAAGAAACTGATATCTTTATAACTTACAAATCTTTATCAATGATATGGGTGTATAGGGGAATCAGTCTGTTAGTATATATGTTTTTAATTAATAAAAACAAACCATGAATATTGAATGACAGTTATATTTTCAATGACAGTTATCATTATTCACTGGCAACCCTCATTAATATCATCAATTCCACACTTTAACAAAGAATACAATTTTTTTTTCAGTATGCCACTCCAAAACTCCACCATGCAAAAGTCACTAACTCGAAAGTCAATAGTTTTTTTTAACCTGTCACCATCTCTGTCCGCTTTAAGTCAAATTTGCAGGACTACTATATATAGACACAACCAATGAGAGCTAGAATGAGAGCTGAATAATTGGGCTAGAATTTGGCTAATTAAATGATTAATATATCATTTTAGCCCAATGATTCAGGCAATTGTTGGTTGTGTCTATATATACTCATCAGACTTTAAGATGTCTATTATATAGACTACTGTATTATCAAATCTAAAGAAAACTACAGGATACAATGTTCAAGTAGGATATCAACTTATAACTTATGATATTGTAATATTAATATACTATATTAAAGTTTTGAATAAAGATATACAGATGAAATTTAATAGGAAGCAATAAATTGAATTTAGAATGCTGGATGCTTTTCCAGATACTTCTCAGTACTATACAAGAAATGCAAATGCAATGGACTGTCCAATCCAATGCTATATGTATAATCACTTTATATGCCATTAAAATTTCTTACAAAAGGTCTCATTCATAAAATATGATAAATGATGATGCTGAAATATCATTCTCTAAAATTCAAGTAGCTTTAGTTACAATTTTGTTTAATATTTTGGTATTCAAAATTTTTAAATTAACAAATTCATAATTGAATTCAAATATATAAAGTGTTATAAAAATGGCAATTGCTGATTTACAGACAGGGTTCATTATGGATAGTCCCTAATTGAAAACAGTGTGAAATTATAATGATCTCCAATAGTGCATAATTTTCTCAATATATCATACCAGTATTACACTACAGTTAAACAAGATCAACAAATGGGCTGACAGTAACTTTTACATTCCAACTGAAAATAAGTATTCTAATTTAATTTTTGTTACTTTTTAAACAATTTTAGCATGTCAACTTTTATTAATGTTTTATTGCTGAAGTTATAAAATTAGTGTGATCTATTTGACTGTCACCTTCAGTATAGAAGTCGTATAATTACAGTAAATACTTATGAAATTGTGTACTTTTGTAAAAAAGTAATTATGAAAAATGTAACACAAATAAAAGAAAAAGTTTAAAATGATAAATAGTAGCAATATATTTGATGAGACTATGTCTTATTTCTAAATTTGCACTGCTGTCAATGGTTGCACTCCTTGGAGGTATGAAAGAGTCAGTTGTCAGTTGTTGCAATTTGGCAGAATATTTGATGCCCAAATCATATGCACATAAAACAAACCAGACTTGTAGGTAGTTAGGGGACCGAGAACTGGGTAAAAATAAAATACAAAATGCTGAGACTGTTTCTACAAACAGGCGTGATTGTGAGATTTGCACATTTATTGCTTGCGCTCTCCGAGACATAGTCTCGTCCCATGAATAGCTTCACCATTTTACTTGTAGATATAGAAGCTGTAAGACTGAAGAGGGATACAAATAAAAAACTACCTGAAAATAAAGTGAAAATAAAGGTTATATTATGAAGTAAATTTGTCATCACTTTACAAAATTGGTTTGATATGTCTGGAAGGAAGGCAAATTAGTTAGCCTATTAATTAATTAACAAATTACAGTAGAACCTCGATTATCCGCCCTAATTGGGGACTGGGGTTGGTCGGATAATTGAAAAGTCGGATAACCGAAAAGTATGAAAAAATCCATTATTAGTGTAGTACAGT